TAAATCTGAATCTGAATCTGAATCTGAATATTTAATAAAAGAAACTGACTTCAAATCAGTACTTAGTGGACTAATCACTTAGCCTACTAAGATTAATGGGACCTGTTCAGATAATAGGTACAAAATCGCCGTTTAGAGTAAAATAATTCTAACGACTGGAAAATTTTGGCATCGATAATATGCATTATCTGTCATAGATGGATAATGTCTATGAGCCAAAGTGGTGAAGCAGAGATTTCATTTGGAATTGTAAAAGACCCAGTTATGTTAAAACCTATGATGTGCAGAGCAGGTGATATGTAGTAAGACCAATGAGGTAATACAACAGGATTTTATAAAGTGTGAGATAATGTTCACTGAGTGAAATCCAACCTTCTACCATTATAGACGTCACAAATAACTATGAATAATTTGAACTTCAATCCAATGAAATTTGTTCAAATCCAAATGCACTATAAAAAATTTCAGAAGAAAAACTATTTGGAACTGTTGAATAGATTTCATAGGTTTAATTTATTGATATACATTAAAAGGGGCATTTAATGTGGAAATAGCACAGCAACGAGGCTGACAAAAGAGATTTAACATTTAATCTTTTTCCATACTTTAACCACTTACCTTTTTCAAAGGCTTTGCTTGAAAAATCTACAGAGAAATCAAGTATCCTAACCAAGTCAGGTGAACTCTGATTGCAACTGAATGGAGATAATCCTCAACATGACCTTAGTTTAATGATAATTCAAAGTTACATCAGCATCAGAATTTGTGACTTGCCACCTGTCCTCAAAGTTATGTCCACTGCGCCACACCCAGAGTCATGTGATCAAATTTGGACACTTGCCCAACTGGCTCGCATTTACAATGACTGCTGTGTCTGATGGTCACGTGATCACAAGTTACACCTTTCCCAGCCAGATTCTGACCAGCCAAATCAATTGGCGAAACCTAATGTGGTGATTCGCTTAATGACCATGGTAAAAATGGTTGTAAAAGCGTGTAAAGTCATGTGTTGATGCTTAAAGATCACGCCGCTTAGCAACAGAAATTCCAAACCCAGTTGAAGTTGTAGGTTGGACACTACTTGTACATACTTTCAATAAAGTAATCCTTGACTTATAACCATTCATTCAATCAAAGTAATGTTGCGGGGGGGGGGGGAAGGGTTTATGACGTGTGCCTGAAATTATGTTTATTGCAGTGCCCCAGCATGATCAAAATTTTGGCATTTTGTAGCACACACACACACACAAACACTTATACTACTGAGGAGCTTCCCAGGGGTGAAATTCAGCAGGTTCCGGAGAACCGGTAGAGGAAATTTTGAGTAGTTCGGAGAACCGGCAAATACCAATTCTGGATAGTGGGGAGTGGGGAGGGAATGGAGATTCTGCAGTATCCTTGCCCCGCCATGCCCATCAAGCCACACCCACAGAACCGGTAGCAAAAAAAAATTGAATTTCACCACTGGTGCTTCCACTCCCCGCACCCGCGTGTCTCCTCCCCCATCTCTGCTGTTTTGGATATCCTTCACATTGCCTTGTGAGGCCATAAGCAGCCACAGAACCATATAGCTCAATGGCTAACCCAGGAAGTCTCACTTAAGCAAATATTCATTTGCCCAGCTATCTTCTCTCCCCAGCCCCATGCGGCTTCAGCCTGGCCCAGCAAGCAAGCACTTCCAACCAAACACCAGGAAGCATTTCTTCATCCAGCTGCCTTCCTTCCCAGTTCCCCTTGTCACCTTTCGCGCCTACTGTCTCGCTGCCTTTGTTGTCTCTTCTGGGACGCAGCTTCTATGGCAAAAGTTTCCTGCCCACTGCCCTGCATTGTGCAGTCTTCGGGAACGGAACACTTTGCTATGACCAACTCACTGTGGCCATCTTGCCACAACCATTTCCCCATGAGACAATTTTGCCACAGACAATTCCACAGGGGATAACTCAGTGCAATAAATGTTATCTGCCACTGTTTCTTCAACATTATTTCTGGTTTGTTTTTTTTAATGTAAATATGTTTTATTTTCATTTCATTTCGTACAGTCACATATATACTGTGCATAACTGGGGCATATAAGATTGAACAATAAA